TCTCTCTCTCTCTCTCTCTCTCTTGGATCCTTAGGCTAGAAACCAACGGAGATAAAAATCTGCTGACAGTGGATGATGGATCTCTTCTCGCCGGGAGAATCTTGCTGTGATGTTCGAAGGTTTCGTGCGAGACGCGGGATTAGAGATTCGCGAAGGGGATGTCGAACGTGGCATTAAAGTACGGGGATTTGGATAAGCTGAGGTAGACGACGGGGGAGAAAGCCTCGAGGTGATTTTTGTACGTGATAAACAACAGTTGTTCGTGTGTGTTTCAAGCTCGAAATACTTTTGGAATTATTCTTAATGGTTTTAATGTTAATTTTAATATTGGTTTTTTTCAATATTTTTTAACATTGTTGATAAGAATTTGTGCTTTTGAATTACTGAGTTTTTGGGAATTTATATGAATGACCACTGTTTTCTATAATCCAACGATAGACACTACTTGATAAACTCTTCCTCAACTGTTTCACCTTCTTTATTTTCTTTAAAACCATAGATTCTACTTTGAAATATCTTTATTAAAAATTTTACATTCCACACGTTATTATTTCACCTTAAAATATCTATTTCATCAGATCATTATTTGGTTAAAAATTTGCCGAGTTTTATAATTCATACTTATACGTGCAATACTCCTGCCTCATTAATAATTTTCCACCGTGTGATTGCTACTCGGTTGCCCACGAATGAATTGAAGAGACAGAGATAAGCAACAATCAGTCCTAATTAAAAACAAAAGGAGAAAATAAATAAACACTCGGTTGAAAAGTTGAGATATTTCATACGAAGAGCCACACGAAAGCCAACTTTGCTTATTAGCAATTGGAAAAGTCACGAAAACACGAGGCACAGTTCTCGCGTTACACAGTAAATGAATTGTACACCGTGAAGTTTATTTTTCTTTCTGGGATATCTCTTATCACGATGAACGCCGTGGAACGTATAAACAAGGCTCGTTTTCTGGTACTGATAAATTAGTGTAAAGAGGAATGTTAATGAGTTCATCGTTATAATTTATGCAGCTTGTTAAGGAGTACCTGCGATAAAGTTTTACCGATTTATATAACGTGGTTTGATAATAAATTCTTTCTACAGATTCTCCTTCTAGCGTTCTCGTTACACTTTCATCGCAAGATCTAATTTAAGTGCTAATTTGCGAGATATTGTATCTCGGAGCGGATATGGTTTACCTACTCTACTTACAACGTGACTCTCAGAATATCCACTTGTGCCATCGACTTTCTTAAAGCACGAAATCCAAATTATTATTCAAAAGTAACAAATCATGAAGATTTTGTTGAAAAAAGTTATCTTAAGCGTAATGATCCAAATTTAAAAGCAAAATTGCATTATATTAAGAGTTGATCTTGAAATTCATTATATTAAGAATTCTAGAAATCATATCACTGTGATGCTACAAAAAAATTATATTACATCGAGCAAAATTATTGAAATTTTTAAAAAAAATCAGTGTACTAAATAATATCATTAGGATTCTTACTTCAAACGTCATATCGTATTGAATAGAATTTTTAAGATTCTTCAAAAATTATATTTATACTAAACAGAACCACTAAAAATTATTAAAACAAAATCATCGAGATTCTCCAACAAGTCACATCGTACTATCACAGCATGCTGATTTTTTAAAAAAGTCATGTTACACTGTGTAGAATCGTTCAAATTCTTCAAAAAAAATTGAACAGAATTTTTGAGATTGAAAAAAGAAATCACATTATGCCAAGTAAACCGGACTTCCTTTCGACTAGATGAATCAAAACCGCGGATATCGCATCAGTCAATGTTTCACCGTGAAAAGTACACAACACGACGGTGAAACGTCTGCAACGAGCTACCGCCATTTCCGAACATCTTTTACCCGTGTGGAAGCGCGTATCGTCGGTGAATTGAAATTTTGTATCAATCGAAGGGCCGAAATTGCAGAACTGGCTGCGATGCATTACCGTTTTGTTCGTTCTTCTCGATCAGCAAGTGGCCGATGTAAATCCTAATCAAACGATTCACGCCCGAAAAGCATTTTTTGCAGCTGCTCTCTCCCTAAACATTCCACCGCACGCGATAATGATCAGGATGGAAAATATATCGACGACCAATTCTCTATGGATCTTCGTTCTCCGCTCGATTTTTGTTGAAACGAGATATTTCTGGTTGAATTTCGAGTTCTAGGAAAATTAGAGGAGTTAGCGATATCGACTCCAATTTTCGTAAAATTTTGTAATTTCATTATTTGGACATGAGATTAGCATTCGAGTTTTTTGTACAGATGATGGATTTATCCCATTGAAATGTGATAAATTTCCTTGCTCTTGACGGAGCTGATCGTCACGAATGTTTAATTAGATCACTTCAAAGTCGGAACTAGTAATTCGAAAATATATTCACCAACGAGAATCGACTATCTTCCTAACATCATCCTAGCATTCGAGGCAGACTTCGCGATTGTCTAGAAAAGAAATCCTCTAGTATCCCCTGAGATCCTAATTCTGGTAATCCTGGAAATCTCAAGAAAATTCCAAAGGCGCAGGAATTCTTTCCAACGGACTGCTGTTAGCCGGTGAGCGAACGTTCGAAACTCCTCTTAATTAGCTCGGAGGGCTCGCGCTCGGAAGTATCGCGAAATCGGTGCTCGAAAGCGGGTGAAAAAAAAAAAAATTACTGTACAATTGTAAATTTCACGCCGAATCCTCGCCATGAAGTCGGTGAAATCTCGTCGAGTGGGAAACAATTTTTAGGGATTTCCATTGGATCTCGCCGGGGAGATCCGGCGCGCAATCTGGTCTAAAACTGGAGGAAGCGCAGCCTGGAAGGGCGCAAGCTTTCAAGGCGTGCTCGATTATAATGCCTGCTCGCAAGTATAGCGGTATTACTTCCGAGCTTTTAATATCGTTGTCTCCCTGACCCGAGCCCCCGATTCGAGTATTTTCGCCGGGGCGCGGGCGCTTCCCGGTCAAAATTAAAATCTGCTTTGTGCGAGCAATTTCAGCGTGTACGGTCCTCGCCGAGAGCGTGGCCGGGGATCTTACGAGCCGCGGACTTAACGGATAATAACGTCGTAAACTTTCGAGAAATTCGTTTCCACCCTTCCACCTAGGCTTTTCTCTATTCCGCCGGTAGCGGGCTTCGTTTCCTCAGATCGCGTCGTCTCAGTCTTGGCCAAAGTTCCCTCTCTTTCGGTTTCTTCGCCCCTTCGCCGAGTCGGGCAAGAGTTTCGTTTAAGCGTTTCGTTGGTTGCAACCTCCGAGATCAAGCGTTTCTTGGTTGCAAGACAAGGGAGGGGGGAACTGAAACTTTGGTCCCGTGCATTAATACTAATTAGGTGGTGTTGGTTTGATCGTTGCGTTAATTTCGTACACGCGGGATCGTGAACGAAATCGGAAGAAATCTTTGGGTAAGATCGTTTTTATTGAGGGATATATTTCGTTCGTGATAAATAAAGAAAATAT